CCTCCCCCGTCGAAGAACGACGAGGAGGAACACGAGGAGAGGACGAGACGGGCGGAGGCGAGATCGAAGGACGAGTAGCAGGCAGGGGAGGAGGAAGGGGCGGGGGAGGAGGATGTCCACCTATGATGATAATAATAATAATCATCATCAGCAGCAGCAGCATCATCAGCATCATCATCGTCATCATCTTCATCACCCCTTCTCTGTCCCTATCAAACCTCAGGGTAGCTGCTGCGCACTCGGCGCAGCAAGGCGTCGCTAGGGGGTGGGCAGAGGATCTGGGGGCGTGCGGGGGCGACCGTCGGATGGGTCCGCCTCCATGTGGCCGTAAAGGTCCGGACAGGTACGGCTATCTGCTCACTACGACCTGCGCTGTCTGACTCACGGAGTCTCACCGATGTCCACCTATGGGGGAGATGAAGAGGCAATCTACACAGGCAACTGGCGCCATTGAGACACAACGGCGGTGCGATGTATCGGGCTAGCCCACGCTAGCTGGGCTGGTGGGGTATCCACTCCGTTGAGATGCTCGGAGCCCCAGCGTGAGTCTGGTGTCTACTTCCATTCGGAAGGCCATGCCTCTGCTGGGGGTCATGGGGCGCTCGGAGTCCTAGAGTGGCAGGGGGCACCTCGAAGAGGTGGGGGCTGGGAAAGGACCAGAGAGGATGAAAGGGAGGCGAGTTACGACAGGGGAGGCAGACCTAGCCGGGGGCTGGTGGGACCTGGGTGGGGAAGGGGTGGGAGAAGAGAGGTTGGAGGAGAGAGGTAACGGACGAGGCTTTGAGGAGAGCCCTGGCGGAGAGGGGGGGCCGCTACTCACCCGAGTGTCCCCATTGAGACACAATGGCGGTGCGATGTATCGGGCTAGCCCAAGCTAGCTGGGCCGATGGGGTATCGAATCCGTTGAGCTGCCCGGAGCCCCAGCGTGAGACTGGCCATTCGGAAGGCCATGCCTCTGCTGGGGGTCATGAGGCGCGCGGAGTCGTAGAGTGGCAGGGGGCACCTCGAAGAGGTGGGGGCTTGGAAGGACCAGAGGGGGAAAAGGGAGACGGGAAAGGACGAGGGAGGCAGACCCAGCCGGGGGCTAGGGGGTCCCTGGCTAGGGAAGGGAGGGAAGAAGAGGGATGGGAGGAGAGGGGTAACGGCTGAGGCTTTGAGGAAATGCCCTAGCAGATGAGGGGGGCCGCTATTTACCCAAGTGTCCCCATTGAGACACAATGGCGGTGCGATGTATCGGGTAAGGCCAAGCTGGCTGGGCCGATGGGAGTATCGACTCCGTTGAGATGCTCGGAGCCCCAGAGTGAGACTGGTATCTACTCCGATTCGGAAGGCTATGCCTCTGCTGGCGGTCATGGGGCGCTCAGAGTCCTAGAGTGGCAGGGGGTACCTCGAAAGGGTGGGGGCGGGGAAGGACCAGAGGGGGGAGAGAGGTTGGAATGGCGGGACGCGGGACGAGGCTTGCTGAGCCGAGCAAGTCGGGGCAACAACGAGAGGTAATCCCTTATTGGGGAGGGGGGCCGCTATTCACCAAAGTGTCTCCATTGAGACACAATGGCGGTGCAGTTTGGTGGGCCAGCCAGAGCTAGCTGAATCGATGTGAATCGTAAAGGCCCTAGATAACTCAGCGTGAGGCAGGTGTATACTTCCACCGGAGTGTCTCCATTGAGACAGATCGGCGGTGCAGTGACGCAGGCTAGCCTGAGCTAGCTGGGGCGGGGGGGGCAACTCCGTTGATTCGCTCGGAACCCTAGCGTGAGGCTCGTAGCGACTTCCACTCGGAAGGTCATGCCTTTGTTGGGGGTCTTGGAGCGCTCGGAGTCTGAGTGTTTCAGGGGGCGCCACGAAGAGGGCGGGAAGGAGATCGGACAGGAGGGAGCGTGCCTCTCCATCGACAGGCACGGGCATCCTAGCTTGAGGCACGATGGGTGGATTTCAACACCTGTCCATCGACAAGGGGTGGGCGTCCAGAATGTTTGACACTTTGAGTGCCGGAGGCTGCCGCGCTCGCTATGGTAGTGTGGCCTGTTTCGCGGCCATTGCGCGAGCCGTGGCTTTCAGATCTCTAGGAACTCCCTCGTTGCGAGGGTGGGATGCCCATGCCTGTCCATCGACAGGGGTGAGCGCCCAAGTCAGCACGCCGCCTACATGAGGCCGACGATGTCGAGGGCTGCCGTACTGGCAACGGCAGTGGGGCCGGCTAACGGTCACTGAACCGGCCCACACACAACAGGTGGGGCACTAGCCGGAGCTAACTAGACGTGGCCACCTGGTTGCCCGAGCCTTTACCCTCTGGTTGTGGCCACAGGTCGGAACACTACCTCCCTGGGGAGTGCCGTGCTTGGCCTGCCAATGAGGCTTGATATTCGTAAGCCACTGTCGCCCGGCCACTCACTGGAGAAGGGGCTACTCAGGGGTGCTCTTCGAGTTCAGTGAATTCTCAGGGGCGCCCCGTGCGTCCCCTGAGCTTTTTCCCTTTCTCCAGTATCGAATGGCGTCGGCACGGGGAGGAGGAGGAGGAGGAGGAGGAGGACGAGGAGGAGGAGGAGGAGGAGGAGGAGGAGAAGCAGGAGGAGCAGGAGGGGGAGGAAGAGGAAGAGGAGGAGGAGGAGGAGGAGGAGGAGGAGGAGGAGGAGGAGGGAGGAGGAGGAGGAGGAGGAGGAGGAGGAGGAGGTGGAGGAGGAGGAGAGGAGAGGAGAGGAGAGGAGAGGAGAGGAGAGGAGAGGAGAGGAGAGGAGAGGAGAGGAGAAGACTTCTCTTCAAAACGAGTACCCAGCACCACAGGATGGTTTGGTACAAAAGCGACCTCGGAACGGGAATCAAGACAACGCCGTAACCGAGGAACAAACATTGCACAACAAAAACGGAACATACAATGCCCTGTCGGATCCAAGAACCATTAGACCTGCGGCACGGCCACGCCATCCTGGTTGACCGTTCGGCCATGCTTCGCATCATGATCTTCACGTGCGAACCGATGATCGGGCGGAACCGCGCAGGCGATCACGCCAGCGAGGCCGAGCCACGGCCGCGCTGGAGGCCTTCCTTCGGGAGTGCGCCGACAACCAGGGGCAACGATCGGGGGGTGACAGGCTGAGGGGGAGACTCATCGACCCCCAATCGCACTAGCGGGGGCCTATCGCCGATCTATCGGCGATGTATCGCTGATTGCAGATCGATGTTTTCCCCCCCTGCGCCTGTCCCCCTGTCCCCCCCCCTCGATGCGCGCGCGCTCCGCCCCATCCGCTCCATCCGCGCTCCGCCCCATCCCCCCCCCTCGATGTCAGACAAGCTGGCTCCGCTCCATCCGCGCGCGCCGCCCCGTCCACGCGGGGCGCACATACCGTGAAAGAGGCCGCGGGTCTAGCAGACGTCGTCCTGCCCCCGTTCGCCTGGTTTTGCCCCTCAAGCTCGCCCGTCCTCACTTCGAGTGGATCGTGGCACATGACCTTGCCCGAACGGCTCAAGCCCTGATCAAGGCCCTGCCGCTCAGGCCGCCCTTCCAACCCTCCACATAGATGCCGATGATGAGCAGCTCATCCCTCGCGGGCCCGCGCATCTCGCGGCCGCGATCCCGGAAGCCCGACTGCGCACCCCCAGGCCTTTGCCTTCGCAAGGGCACAGGGGAGGCTCCCCGCTCATAAGCGGCTCCTGTCCGTCATGTGGGGCGCTCAAGGGAGGGCCCGGTCTTCGAGGAACAGAGAAGTTGCCGTCCTTTCGGATGCAACTCCTGGGAGATACAGTTCTGAGTTTGCCCTGGTCTGAAATCTGGCTTCATCCGGTTTAATCCTGCTGACTCGGGCTGAATCCCGCTAAATTCGGATGAATCCCGCTTAATCCGCGGCCTAATTTGGTGTAGCAGCCCCCCACTTGGGCTTAATATTTGTTCATCCTTCCGGCGAAGACCTCCCAGGAGTTGCCTCCTAGCTTTCTTCGGCGGAAAGCAGCGGAAGGCCCGCGGAAGGCGGCTATAAAGTAAAACGAGGCGATTTCCGCCGGCGCAAGCCGGCGGAAGTAACAGACGGCAAGGTTTTGTAGTTCAGCGTTTGCTGAGCCCGCCATGTCAGCGCGGGCGCGCGCGCGCGGGAAGCGCCCCGGCCTGCCGAGCGCTGGCTCCGTGGGGAGCCGGGCGGGCCCGCGGCGCCAGTTTCGGCGCCCGCGGTCTGCACGTGGGGTGCGGGGGCGCCGCCCTCGACAGGGGACAACGTTTTGACGACCTCGTCGCAGACGTCTGTCCGTCGCTCGCCAGCCGCGCCTGGTGCCCCCAGCGGCGTCTGCGCGCCGAACCTGATGCGCGCACGCCAAAGGTGCATCGGCACGGGGGGGCCTTGGCCCCCGTTGGCGCTGACCAACGGCCGCTCCATGGGCAGATCCTGGTCGCCGTCATCGTCATCCGCATTATCATCCTCCTCTTCGTCTTCGTCGCCGTCGCCGTCGGCTTCATCAGCCTTGCCACTCATCATCATCATCATCATCATCATCCTCATCATCATCATCATCATCAGCAGCAGCAGCATCATCATCACCACCATCATCATCATCAGCATCAGCATCACCATCACCATCACCACCATCATCATCATCATCAGCATCATCATCATCATCATTCTTACCTTTACCATCACCATTACCTTTACCATCACCATGGAAATACAATCATCATTACTGTATCACCAGTACCATTACCATTACCAGTGCCATTAGCATTGCCATTACCATTACCATTACCATTACCATTACCACCATTACCATCATAACCGTTATCATCATCATCAGCATCATCATCATCCTCATCAGCATCATCATCATCATCATCATTACCATCACCATTACCATTCCCTCCGTTGCCATTTTGGCTCAAGCATTCGTGCTCAAAGGCCCTTCCTGCAAAGGCGACCCTCCATGCACGTGCAGGTGCAGCCAGGAGGCGCCGTCCACTTTCCTCGATGGCGGGCATCTACCCATGGCTGTTTCTTGCGGGTGCGATGTTAGGCTTGCTCCTCATGAGTTATGTCCTATACCATTACTTCGCAGACCCGCGAGAGTCTTATGGCTTGGCATGCGTTACCGTTGTATTATCGTTGACTGTCAGCATTCTGTGCACATTGCTGATCCCAGTGGACATTTACGTCATCTCAGAGGGCGACATAACCTCTGAGTCTCTGCATGTCACAATATCGCGGGAGCACGTGCGGAACGCTTACATGGTGCTTTTCGTAATGCTCCTCGTCTGTGCCTTTGGACTCGTGCCCCACGCTTACTTCTACGGAGAAGAGCGAGGTGGCGACCTGGACGGCAAGTTGAACAAGCCGAGCTGTTGCAACGCGATGAAGTCCACGTTTGTCTTCGTAGGTTTTGTTTGTGTGTTGCTCACCATTGGCCTCAACTTCAGGCCTGGACACGCCGCCAGCCTGGACAAGGTCTGGGAAGGGCAGGACGGCGCGTTCAGGTGGTTGACGGACCTGCTCGATCTAGACCACGACGGCTTGAATGCGATCTCGTTTTCAATCGCGTGTTTGACGTCCGTGGGAGTGGTCGGGTGGGTGTTTTACACGGCGTACGGCATGGCGGCCATGCCCTTCGATTGGCTCCAGAGGAAGCAAACGGCCACCGAGCAGCGGCAGGACCTGCAGTCGAGCCTGTCCAGCCTCCGCGAGAAGTATCGCATGATCCAGTCAAAGTATCCGTCGAACGAGGATGGGTCGCTTGACCCCTCCTGCATGAAGGCAGCGGATCGGAAAGAGTTCTCGAGATTACAGCGAGAGCATAAGAGCCTGATGCAGCACAACTACAAGTTGCAGGAGCTCGAGCAGAAGGCGGGCGCCGTCATCCCGGCGTTGCTGCACTTCCTGGTGCCCTTCCGCTGGTTCATTGGGGTGGGTATGCTCGCCATGAGCCTATTGGTGGCCTCTTCGCTGCTGCTGACCCTGCTGGACAGGCTGCTATATTCTTCCTGCGGCTGGAGCTGCGGCTTCACTCTGAAGGAGCGGCAGATCTTTAACCCCGCCGACGAGATATTCCTGAGCCTCTCGAAGGTGTTCCCCGCAGACTTTGTGGTCCTCGGCATCTTTGTCCTCTACATTTTCTCGTCCTCCGTGTTCGGCATTGTTTCGCTGGGCATCCGCGTGCTCTGCTTCACAATGTACGACTTGCGGCAGCGCAAGTCCTTGCCACAAGCGTTGTTGGTACTCTGTAACGTGATCGCGTACATCTTGCTTGCATTGTGCATGGCGCTCCTCACCATAGCCCCCAACTACACCTCGTTCGGCTCGCAGAGATTCCAGAACGCCGATGGCAGCACAGGCTTGTGCTCATCCGACAGGGCAGCCGCGGACGGCAACGGAAAATGTCAGGTATCGGTGATCTCGGCGTTCTTTACGCGAATCGCTGTGGCGATGCCGATGTTCTCCGTGACGTATTTCTTCGCCAATTGGGCGTTCGTGGTGGTCTTCAGCGTCACCTTCACCCAATCCGTCCTCTTCAGACAGCGCCAGCCCTTCCTGGACACCGGCCACGAGCTCGAGGAGGAGGAGATTGGCCTGCTGAGCTTCGCGTGACCGCCGCCTCCGCGGGCCGCCTCCGCCCCGAGCGCTCGCCGGCCGTGGGCGGGGCCGGCCCGAACAAGCGCACGTTGTCCTTTGCGAAGAGGCCAGCCGTATGCAGTTGTGAATGCAGTCGAGGCGTTGACCTGAGGAACCCTAAATAAGGAACGAGGACCCTTTTTCCCGTAAGTCCAACTTCGATTTCCCGTTGGAAACTTCAGGAAAACCCGGGGCAAACTTTGAAATAATCAAGGAACGCCGAGCTCCTCTCCAACGAAAAGGGTTCCTTCTTCAGCGCCCTGACTGTATCGCCATTTGGGGCATCGCCGTCGGCGGATCTCTGTATGGGGCTGCGAAGAGTGTGAGGGGTGTGCCGAAACGGGGCGGGGACGCTTGCTGGCGCAGCCACTGGGGCCTCCTGGCGGCGCTCCATGTGGGGCCACGGAGCGTGTGAGGAGTGTCCCGAGATGGAGCGGGGCCGCCATGCGAGCACTGCCTCTGGGGTCTTCGGTGGAGCCGTGGGGCCACGAAACGTTGTACTGAGTGGAGGAGACGCATGCGAACACCGCCACTGGGGCATTCGGTGGAGCTCCTTATGGGGCCACGACGCGCTGTAGCAGGGGGGGCGCATGCGAACACCGCCACTGGGGTCTTCGGTGGAGCTCCCTGTAGGGCCACGAAGCGCTGTACTGGGTGGGGTGGAGGACGCATGCGACCACCGCCACTGGGCCACTGGGGTCTTCGGTGTAGCTCCCTATGGGGCCACGAAAAGTTATACTGGGTGGGGGTGATGCATGCGAACACCGCCATTGGGGCCTTTGGTGACGCTCCCTGTGGGGCCACGAAACGTTGTACTGGGTGCTGGAATCGCATGCGAGCACCGCCACTGGGGCCTTTGGTGGAGCTCCCTATGGGGCCACGAAGCGATGCATTGGGTGGGGGAGGCGCATGCGAACACCGCCATTGAGGCCTTCGGTGAAGCTCCCTATGTGGCCACGGAGCGATGCACTGGCTGGGGGGAAAAACATGCGGACACCGCCATTGGGGCCTTCGGTGGAGCTCTGGGGCCACAAAACGCTGCATGGAGCATGGGAGACGCATGCGAGCACCGCCGCTGAGGCCCTCGGTGGAGCTCCTTATGTGGAGCCACGCCGCGCTGTGGCGGCCACGGCGGGGGCCCTCGTCGCCACCGCTGGACTCGCCTTGAAATTCTGCCCAGAACTCACCCAAGGAGAGGCCCAGGGAGTAGCGGTATCTGTGCCCTGCGATTTCCCCGTTCCCTGGGCTCCATTCGGCGGCGAGCAGGGGGGGGGGGGAAGCGGGGAGGCGAAGACCTTCTCAGCAAGTGGCCGGGTTTCTCAGAAGCCCTCGCGCCTTCTGAGGAGTGCTTTGTGTGCTTCGGGGGAGGGTCAGGAAACTTCTCAGAAGGCCGGGGGAATTCCGAGCCGTCTGAGGAGGCTTTCTCCTTCCCAGGAGGAAAAATCCTTGAGGCCTCGATCGGCGCGCATTAGTTGTATTATTTAGTCCACACGTCAGCTCCGTAAGCTATGGGTCGACGTTCGCGCGGCGATGCTCTGGCGTCAGTCCGACGTAATTCCGACGTGAACCCGAGGTGCACCCGACGTGATTCCGAGGTGGACCCGACGTAACCCGGGTCTCAAGTTGCCGCGCGAGGCCTCCAGGATTCTCCTCAGAACTTCTCAGTTCCCCCCCAGGCTTGCCGCCGGTCAGCGCTGGTGTGCACGTCGCAGCTTGTGCTGCTGGCGCGGCCCTCTGCGGGGCCTCCTGGGCAGGCTGGCTGCGGCGGCGGATCCCGAGATGTCATCGGAGATTGCCAAACAGGTTCGCTGCACATGGCCGGTTGGCAAGATGTGCCAGGAACGCAACAACAGCAAAAGCAACAACACCAACAACAATAGCAAGAACACCACCACCAACAACAACAACAGCAACAACACCATCATTACCAAGCACAACAACAACAACAGCAACAATGACATCACAAGCAAAAGTCATCGGTTTCGCGCGTCGGGCTCCGCTCGTCCACCTCCAAACCAGAGAGAGGCAGGGCACCGGCGCCGCTTCCCTGCGCCCGACGTCAGCCTTCCTGAATTGGACTTATGTCGGGCTTGTTCTTCCACAGGAGGAAAAATCCAAACATAGGTTAAACACATATCGGGACTTTTTTTGTATGTTTGAATATTTTTGAACCTTGCGAAGGCATTACAGTCAAGACGCTGAAATAAGGAACAGTTTTGGTTCGGAAGGGGCTTGATGTTCCCTAGGTTCCTCCAGTGCTGTTCCTCTTGCCCTCCTGGGGCACGGAGGCGCTTACAGGGCCAAGAAGGGGCTTCGTTCCTTATTTAGCGTTCCTTCTTTCAGTAGCCCGACTGTACGGCAGGTGCCGCCGTCCCTGAGATCGACGAAGATGAAAACCACGGGGGGGGCAGGGGGAGGAGATGAGTGGGAGGTGAAGGAAGGGTGGAGGAGGTGGATGGGGGAGGAGGGGGGGGGGAGAAGGATGTGGAGGAGAAGCAAGAGGAGGAGAAGGAAGCAGAGGAGAGCAGGAGGAGGGAGAGCAGAGGGGGGGGAAGAGGAAGAGGAAGAGGAGGAGGAGGAGGAGGAGGAGGTGGAGGAGGAGCAGGAGGAGGCGGAGGAGGAGGAGGAGAAGGAGGAGGAGGAGGAAGAGGAGGAGGCCAGATTCTTTCTTGGGACAGCCTGGGGCTCTGTTGAGGCCGTCTTGGGCCGTCCAGGGCTCCTCTTGCGTCGTCTCGAGGCACTCTTGGAGGCCTCCTAGGCAATTTGGGGCTCTCCTTGGATGGCTTGGGGCAATCTTGGAGGCCTCTTGGGCCGTCTTCGGGCTTTTTGCTGGGCTCCGGGACTCCCGGGGGGGGGGCGTCGTATCTGACCCCCCCCCTGCAGGGACCCCCCCCCTGGGGACCCCCCCTTGGGACCCCCCCCCTTGGGACCCCCCCCCCTGGGGACCGACCCCCCCGGCGGGGGAGGGATCGCAGGGAAGGGGCGTCCCTTCGACTCAATTACGACGGAGCCCAGGGAAAGGGGGAGGCTGGGAAAGCTGACGACAGACGACGACCAACGAATGACGGAGATGACACTTGAACGCACAAACCCCTCACACACGCCGACAGGGTCGGCGGATTTTTGGTGTATTTTTTGTTTCTCGTCCAAGATCGGCCTGTAGCGGGGGACAGGTCCGAATTAAAGTTGGACCTTGTGGCAGCTCCCAGAATTCAGCGACCCGATGCGGCCCTATAGTTGCACGGCGCTCCGATGTCGTTCCGGAGTGCCCCGATCCCGCGTGCATCCCGATCCGATCCGGTGTCCGAGGCGACGCTGGTCGATCTTGCCCCTCTTCCCCAGTTCAGCGACCTGATGCGGCCCGGTGGTTGCACGGCGCTCCGAGGTCGTTCTGGAGGGCCCCGATCCGGCGCGCCTCCCGATCCGATCCCGTGTTCCGAGGCGACGCTGGTCGATCTTGCCCCTTTTTTGCCCCAGGGAGAGGGAGGCGTGACGCGCGCCCCGGGCGCGGGCGCGCGGCGCAGGAGCCCGAGAAGAGAAACAGCAGGTCCTCGTGTTCTTCGTGGCACCAGCTGGCTCTCGTGGGCGAGGCGGAGGCATTCGTGCAGGCGCCGCCTCTCCGGTCGGGAGAGAGATCGGGAAAGAGAGTGAGAGATTGAAGAGAGAGAGAGAGGAGAGAGAGAAAGAGAGAAAGAGAGAGAGGGAGAAAGAGAGAGAGAGAGAGAGAAACATCTACATTGTGGAATTGGTGCGGGAGACAAGAAGGAGGGTAACGTTTCTTCCTCCTCCTTCTCCTTCCTCCACCTTCTCCTCCGAGGATACGTTGGGCTGTGATATTTCATTTCTTTGTACGAGCCACTACATATTCCATATCTCCTTTCTGCCATCAGGAATTTTATTCTGGAGGCGACACGTGTATCCGGACGCGGGAACTAGACTAGGACGACGACTGACCCACCTCGCTCGCCATCCTTGTCACCTCCCCCACGCAGATTTCAGTTGTCACGAGGCGGGCTCACACCTACCACAACCCACCGCCGGCCTTCCTCTACAGCAGGCCGTGGGCAACCTTGCTGGGACATGCTCCAGCTGCTTTTTCGACCTGACGTCGTCAGGGTCGCCATGTGATGATGATGATGATGATGATGATGATGATGATGATGATGATGATGATGATGATGATGATGATGATGATGATGATGATGATGATGATGATGATGATGATGCTGATGATGATGATGATGATGATGATGCTGATGATGATGATGATGATGATGATGATGCTGATGATCGAGGTCACCTTTCTTTTGCACGTCCGACGTGCGGACCGTAAGTCTTCGATGAGCTCGTCGAGCCGAGTCGGCACCTGAAGCGCCCCCCTCCACGAGTGCCGCGACTTCGTCCAGGCCTCGTCGGCCAGCCCGCGGCGCGCCGCCCCGTGGCCTGCCGCCGCTTCCCACCTTGTCCGCCTCCGCCCCTCCTCCACCTTCCGACAGGCCCACCCGAAGGGGCCCCTTTTTCTCTGCGCACGGCCTGTCGGCCACGCGCAGAGGGGGGTAGGGGGAGGGGGAAGGCTTCTTAGAAGCACCCCTGCTTCTTAGAAGGCGCGGTCCTTATGTGTAGATGTAAGGCCGCCGCCCTCTAAGAAGCAGCCTCCTTCTAAAGAGCCTTTTCCCCCCTCCCTCCACCCCCTTCTGCGCGCCGCCGAGCCTGGCGGGGGCCCCATGCCCGCCCCCGCCTTCCCCTCCCCGCGCGGGGGGGGGGGCTCGGCCGAGCCGCGCCCCGACCCGGGGCGGGGCGCTGTGGCTCCATCGTTGGACGCGAGGCATCGCGCCCGCTCGGCGCGCGATGCCGCCACGGATCGACGATGCCACGGACGCCCTGGAGGAGAAGGAGATGTCGTGCTCGGCACTGGACGAGGCCGACTTCTTGTACCCGGGGTCCGCTCGGGGTGAAGCCGAATCTCCGAGGGCTCGGCGAGGGCCTTCGGGGGCCCGCCCGACGCCAGCCGCGCCGCAGGGGCGCGGCCTCGGCGAGGCCCGGAGGCGGCAGCACCCCCAGGCCCGCGGGAGTCAGCACACCTGCACACAGCCAAGCCCGTTCGGGTTCGAGCTGCGCGGTGCGCGGCAACCCTGACCTGCGATCGCTTGGAAGCTCGAGGTTCCTTTTCTCTGGTCTTCCGTTCGTCGCCCGATGCCCCGTCGGGCCCGACCAGAGACCACGCGCAGGGCCGAGTCTTTTTTGTTTTGTCCTTCTTCTTCCTCCCTCTCCTCTGCCTTCCTTCCCCTCGTCCTTCTCCTCCTCCTCCTCCTCCTCATTCTACGCCTCCGTAGCCATTGTGGCTCAAGGCTATGAGTTCTGCAGTGAACAAGTGGATGCCGCTAGCCCGCGGCAGCTTTCATCCTTCGGCCAGTTCGCCCCGACCAGAGCCTCGCGCGTGTCCGCCCCCGCGCTTGGCGTCGTCTCCATCTCTTCGCACGCGCCGCGCCCGTGGGGAAAGTCTCCTTCACTCGGCCCCCGGACGCGCGGGTCAAGGAGAGTGCCGGGCCAGGAAGAATTCTTGGCGGCAGGTCCTCGACGTGCGGGTCCGGCATGCCGCTCCGCCCTGGCTCGAGGGCGGCCGCGCGAAGCCTCCCCGGTGGGGCGCCAAGAGCCATGGGCGTTCGCGGGCGGACGGCGGCGGCTCGCGCACGCTCGCCAGCGACGACCCGTCGGCACTCCTGGCGCAGCTCGCCCGCCTCCACACGTGGGCGAGCGAGGCGCGCGCGCGCTGCAGTCGGCCGAGGAGCGCTCCGAGCAGCAAGCGGTCGTCGAGCCCCTGACCCCCGCACGAGCCACGATGCCACGGCCCGCGTCCTGGAGAAGAAAAGCGCGGCCCTCAAGTCCTCAGCTGCCGCCGGCATCGCTGCAGAGACGACGCTCGAGCGGGCCAAGATCGCGGCTTCGACGGCGGCCTACGAGCAGCGCCAGGCGAAGGTGGCTCACGACGCGGCGGTGGCGAGCGTCGCGGCAAAGGCCAACGCCAATGCAGTCCCAGACCGCTACGCCTCGGACGTGAAGCGGGTCGCCGTCGCGGTCGACGACGCCCTTTTCTCTGACATCGGCTCCTTCAGCGAGGAGAAGCAGGCTTGGGCTCAGGAGATTACGCGACGAGCACCAGGTCAAGCAGAAGTGCGACCAGGCCACCGCTCTCCGTGCGGAGAGCTGCACGCAGCACGGGAAAAGGTCCGCGGCTCCCGCGCGCCCCCGCCGAAACGCCAGCGGCTCGATGAGCACGGAGCTGCGGCGGCCGCTCGCCGCTGCAGGCGCCGCCCCGTCGGGCGCCCCCCGCCGCCGCCCAGGCCGCGCTCGAGGTCCTGGACCAAGGCCGAGGAGAAGGCCCTCAATGCTGCGCTGGACGAGGCGCGGACCAAGCCGGTCCTCCTCCTCCTCCTCCTCCTCCTCCTCCTCCTCTCCTTCCCCCTTCCTCCTCCTCCCTCCTCCTCTCCTCCTCCTCCTCCCCTCCTCCTCCCCCCTCCTCCTCCTCCTCCTCCCCTCTCCCCCCCCCTCCCCCCCCCTCCCCCCCTCCTCCTCCTCCTCCTCCTCCTCCTCCTCCTCCTCCTCCTCCCTCCTCCTCCTCCAGGCCAGAGGCGCTGGCAAGGGTGCTGCCGGCGCTGGCTCGGCTGCCGGTGCCGCTGGCCCCGGGCCTCGTGGGTGGCCGCCCCGCGCGCCAGCCCTCAGGGGAAGGCGGCCCTGCCCCATCGAGCTCGACGCCGCCATGTTCCACGGCCGCCCCAGGAGCCCATGCCCAGGGGCCGAGCACTCGGCAGTGCGGCTCGGAGCTTTCCCCTGCCAGTCCTGCAGAGCGGGGCCCGATCTCGCTCGCGGCTTCATGCGAGGGCGAGCGCCCTCGCGCGACACCGCCGCTTCGTGCGAGACGTGCTTGCTGGGCGGCGAGATTGCGATGGCCAAGTCGGGCCTTGGCAAAGGCAGGTAGAACAGGGTCTCCGCGCCTGCCGTTCTGACTGGAGGGTCTGTCGACGGGAGCTCTGGTGGCGAGTGGGTTGTCTCACGTGAGACGTTGTGCGCGACATCTTTTGAATCAAGGAGTGAGGTTGAGAGGCGTCTCTCTGGCAAAATTGTTCTCGTGGTTTTGCACCAGTGGTACGGCGTACGCGCGCTGTCAACATCGTCGCGACTTCGTGCTACCTGATGCCAGGACACCAGTTCAATTAGGGCCCAATGGGCAGATGTTGTTCCGCCTCGCATCCTTTTTGGAGCTGATCAAGGACTCCTTGTTGTTGGCTGGGGATTGGAACGCGATGCCGTCGGAGTGGCCCAGTTCGTCATGGATTTTGAAACTGGTCGGACAGCTGTGTCCCCAGAGGTCTTGTGACCTGCAATCGTGGTAAAGGCACGTTTATCGTTTGCGCTATCGCAGAGGAAAGGTTGGCCAGCAGCCTCAGAGAGGATATCGTACCTGAGGTCTCTTGGCCCACGCATGTTGGCATCCGCGACACGTTGAAGACATGGATACAGTCGTGGTGGCATCGGAGCCGTACTGCAGCACGCGAGCTACCAATTGCGCCCAGACAAGCGAAGGCGGCGAACCCCAACAGCAAGAGGCAGCTGGCACCGGCGCAGCTGATGGGTTGCAGACCCATTCCATCAGTGTTCCGCGTTCCTTAAGTGTTTCGCAGCTTGCCTCAGGTTTTCCTTATGTTTTCGATCGGAAGTCGAAGTTTAACTCATGGAAAAAAGGGGCCTCATTCCTTATGTTGGGTTCCTTAGGTCATCGCCCCGACTGTATGCCATGCCGGCACATCTGGTCGTGAACGGGATGTCCGTCTTCGCGGCCCTCGCCATGGGTGCTGTGCGTCCACCTTCAGAGCGCAGCACGGCTGGTGGCTCTCCGACCAGCTCCGCACCAAGCAGATCCATGGCATGATCTGGTGCGATACTCGTGATATGAGGAATACAGTCGGGCGCTGAAGAAGGAACCCTTTTCGTTGGGGAGGGGCTCGGTGTTCCTTGATGGTTTCAAAGTTTGCCTCGGGTTTTCCCGAGGTTTTAGATGGGAAATCGAGGTTGAACTTCTGGAAAAAGGGGCCTCGTTCCTTATTTAGGGTTCCTTAGGTCAACGCTCCGCTCCGACGGTACTCGTGATATGAGGGATAACCCAGTGACGAAGGGGGCGTCGGCCGCGATGTGCGGTAAACTCAAGTACGACCACGCCACAGTCAGGCTGATCGACTAGAACCGCAAGACAGCCGCGCCCAGCTCCCGCCACAGCGACTTCAGGACTGATGAGGAGAACGTTTCGCCGACGGGATTAACAGCCATAAGTTTAGCTACATGTACTCCGGCTGAAGAAAATGACAGCCGCGGGCGCCACAACAGTTTGGACGTCCAGACCGTGACGCCTTGACGGGCCACGTCTTGCCCAAGTAAAAGACATCGGCGACCGCATGTCGCGATCTTCGTTCGCGAAAATGACATATGGAGAGGCCAAGGCAGCCGCATGTCGTGAATTATGCTCGCGCATGCGACGTAGCAGGACAGATGAGAGAAAGTCCGCGTAAGGCGAACTACGTTCGCAGATGCGACTGCGTGGGTCATGGAAATGGGGGGCTTTGCCAGGAGGTGTGTTCGTGGAACGGCAGACCGATCGGCGTGTAGTACGTTTGTCGTCCTAGCGCGCTCCTCAAATTGTCCGAACTTCTCGTTCCCTTGTATTTGTTATGAGGGACCTGGTCAGTCGAAGGTCCACGTTCAGCCTTGCCTGTTTTTGCGTGTACATTGTCGTGCGATACGTCAGTATGCTTCGGTTTGCCCTAGGAGACCTGCCAGGAGTAGCTGCCGCCACGCTTCGCGTGACGTCAAGGCTCTTTGTGGTTGGCACCTTTGTTGGCCAATTTGCCTTGGGACCCCGCGAATTTTGGCACCTCCCGCAGCTGGTCGAACTCAGGCTAATTGTATCCCGCTGCCGCTGTTCAGTTCATAGCGTTGCTGTGTCTGGGAGGCTGTCCTAGTGGATTGTACATGGGCCGCCGACTAGGCACAACTGTATCCCGCTGCCGCTGTTTAGTTCATCGCGTTGCTGTGTCTGGGAGCTGTCCGGGTGGATTGTACCTGGGCCGCCGACGAGGCACAACTGACGCAGTTGAGCACCAGACTCGAACGGTACCTCTGTCTACTGTGCGTGCCTTTCCTGCCTTTCCCTGTGCCCGACGCATTGCACTAGGTGGGGTGACAGTGGTCCGGCAGTCCGCCGCCACGTTTGTTTCGGCGGCACGTAGTCCGTCCAGAGTACGTGCCCGTGTTAGTCGAGTGTTTTGCCGTCTTATGCGCCCCCGCGAACACAGCAACAGTTTGCATAGTCTCCTCTCTTTGCGTTTTGTCCCACCCAGCCCGCCCCCTCCCGCGCCCGATTTGCGCCCTCCGACGGGTACGGGTCGCCCCACCGATCCTCGAGCATCGGATACCTAGATCCCCCGACGTCGTGATCTGTTCTCTACGTGAACCCCCCGAGGTGTCGACCTTAGCCCCCGGGCACAGCAAAGAACCACAACCACAAGTAATTCGATTTTCGGGGGGGCCCCTTCGGGGAACAACCCACCGACCTCGACGTGAGCAACTTGGTTGCGGTTGTGGTCGATTTGGCCGTCGTGGGACGCCGCATCGGCCGCAGCCAGCACCAAGCTGGCTTCGGTTGTCTGACGATGATTGGCATGCACAGGACATCCCCCAGGCCGTGTCCTCGACGTGGCTGTGGTCGCTTGCTGTCCCCGCATCTTCCGCCAGGACCGTTTTTCGTACCACCTCGGGCCATCTTCGGACCGCCTCCAAGAGCCTGAGAGGGGCCCCTAGGAGCCGCAGACCGCGGGAAGCTTGCCTCCATGATCTTTCACCCTGCTAGGGGGTTCGTTCGGTAGCACATCATGGAAATTGCGTGTGTCTTCGCAATCCCGCCTCGAGAGCACACGGTCGTTCGCTGGCTCTGGCACTCGATGAAAAAAAAACGCAGATGATTGCGTCGATTTGCGTCGATCGGCACGGGTTTGGCGCCGACTGGCGTCGACCAGCGTCGATCAGTTGCGATTCGCACGAGCCAGCAGGACAGACTGGGAGGCCCCCGTGAGTTGATCAGGGGAGAACAAAAACACAGACACACTTAATCGCCGATTCCCCCGAAAATATTGGAAAAGATGGGCAGTGGGGGGGAAGACAGAAACCCAGAACATCTAGGGAAGACAGAAACCCAGAACATCTAGGAACATGTGGGGGATATCTTTGTGTGTGTGTATTTAGTTGTGTGTCCCAGGGCCCCTTCAGAGGAGGGCTCCGGGTCCGCCGCGCGCGGGCCCGCCCCCTCTCCCCCTCCCGAGCCCCGCCTGCGGAGGCCGTGGCGCTCGGCAGCGTGGAGGCGCTCGCGCAGGAGGGCCTCTCGAGCGCGCGGACCATGGCCGGCCACCCGCCGATGAGCGCGCGGCCCGTCCAGGCCACGGCCCCGCCGGCCACGCCCACGGGGTCGGCAGGCCGAGGATGGAGGGGAGGGGGAGGTCGGTGGAGATGGGGAGGGGGAGGCCGAGGAGCGGGCAGGCCGAGGAGCGGGGAGGGGGAGGAGCGGGGAGGGGGAAGGGTTCTGCACGGAGGAGATGGGTCCGGCAAGAAAGGGTACAAGGCCCAGCAGCAGTTCCTGTTCATTCTGAACAGGACGCGCTGTCCGCGCCGCCGCGGCGGTCTGTGTCCACTTGAGACAGAAGGCCGCCCGCCCAACAGCGGGCGCTGAAGGTTTGGGGCAACATGTGTTGTTGGGCATTGTACCCATTTCTTTCGTACCCATTTCGGGCGTCCGAAGAGGTGGAGATGGGGAGAGGGTCACTGCGCATGGTCGCGCAGAGCACGATTCGGCGCGGGGGACCCCACGATGGGCATGTCATGTTCTGACACTTTCATCCGTGAGCACCTGGGAGTGAACTCCAAATGCAGGTCAAAGGGGGCTCTTCTCTCTGCGTCTCTCTGCGGCCATCTGCTACCCCGTGGCGGCCACCCCTTGTATGCCTAAGTGATGTGCCCACTACATCGGGTTGGCCATGGGAGTGCCAGGATCAGGATTTCGCCAGAGACATCCCCACAATCTGGGCGCGAAGGGGCAAATCTGTTCATCCCTGGCGGCTCAGCCTTGGAGTGCTCAACGGGCGAGTGCAGCATCACACCTGGCGGCCCCCTCCTTGGACTTCTGAAGCAAGCCCCTCGCTGGAGGCCGTCATCCATTTGATCTCCAGCACGAACGACATGGGTACGGAAAGAATGGGGACAATGCCCAACAGCAGCTCCTGCTCATTTTGTGAGCAGGATTTGCCCTCCACGCCGCCGCGGCCTGCGCCCACTCGAGACAGCAGGCCGCCCGCCCAACAGCAGCCGCTGCTGGTCTGGGTCAGCACTTGTTGCTGGGCACTTTTCCGTGCCCGTCTCGGTCGCCCAGAGATCTGCCAGGAGAGGCGCCGGAGCCGCCAGCACCAGCGCCTCGCTCCAGACCTTCCCCGCGATCTCTGGGCGCGGGACGGGCGATGGCAGCACCCCGCCTGGGCGGATCTCGCGCGGGGCGCTCGTCTGTATCGCCGTGAGCGCTGCGCGTGCGTGCGCTTCGGTTGCGAGCGGGGCCGAGTCTGAGTGAGTCCGAGCGTGAGCGCAGCGAGTGCGAGTGAGTCCGAGCTCGAGTGGGTGCGAGTGCGAGTGGGGAGTTCCGAGTGTGCTGGAGTCTGATTCTCGGAGAGTGGGTGGGACGGAGTGCGGGTTGGAGTATGACTGAGGAGGGGGAGAAACGGAAGAGAAGGGAGGGGAGGCCGTCCCGTTCTTTTGCACGTTCCATTTTGAGTGTTTGGTTGTGGGCGCATGGGTGCGAGAGTGCTGACGGGTACGACGACGACGACGGCAACGACAACGGTGGCGGCAGCTACGATGGGGGACGACGACGACGACGACGAGTCAAAGGCAAACCGGCGGTGATCAGGTCCACTCTCCTCTCCTCTTCCTCCTCGGCGTAGCTCCTGCCTTTTTCTTCCTGCCTCCTCCCTTTTTTCTTCCTCCCGCGTCCTCCTCCTGCCGCCGCCGTCCTCCATCCTCCTCATTGGCGGCCGTCCTTCTTCATACATCGAGGTGGCTCTTCATAGAGGGCTCTGCACGAGAGGAGCCGGGTGTGCAACACGAGCGCCCCGCTGGAGAGACGCCACCGCGACCCGGGCGCGAACGGGCGAGGCGTCATACCCCCCTGGCGCCCCCGCCCCACTCCCCCCCCTTCGGGGTGCCGAATTCGACCTTGATGGGCTCGTTTTCCACCACGACCACCATAAGTTGGAGGAGGGAAGGAGGCGGAGGACGAGGAGGAGGAGGACGAGGAGGAGGAGGAGGAGGAGGAGGAGGAGGAGGAAGAAGAAGAAGAAGCACGCCAAGAGGCGGACCTGTCACTGGACGAATCTGGTGGCCCCGGCAGGGCGGCGCTTGCTGGGCAGTCTGCTCCCTACCCACCGCCGCTGACGCCGCCTGCTGAGCCATCCCTCGCTCGCGCCAGCTCTTTTTTTGGCGCCCGCGCTCACGGAGGGCGGCCACATCTTGACTCATAGCCACACTCCGAATTTGGATCAGGCCGAGGCAGAAAGCTGGTGGTCTCGAAGCGAGGCTCGCGACGTGTGGGCAAGGCTCTCGGCTTGTATATCGCACATGCAATCTGCTTCTGCGTCTTACGATGAGGACCGACGCCCTTACGGAGGCTCCGCGGGATCTCAATTCCCTTGGGCGCCGGCTTCATGCAAGGAGCCCTCAGCTTCTGTCTCCAACGCTGTTTGGCCCACGCACCGCACTCGGTGCAAATAAAAATTGGACGATCTATGTATTTGCGATTGTGTTTCGCCTTTCCAGTGCCCGCCCAAAGACGCCTGGCGGCCGCGCGCACCGCCTGGCTCGCTGGCGCTGGTTTTCGATGATTTGCGATTGTGCTTTGCCTTTCCAGGGCCCGCCCAAGGACGCCTGGCGGCCGCGACCACCCTGGCTCGCTGGCGCTGGCTTCTGATTATTCGCGATTGTGCGTGCCCCCCCAGGTCCCGTCCAAGGACGCCTGGCGGCCGCGCGCCCCCCTTGGCTCGTTGGCGCTGGTTTCTGATCACTTGCGATTGTGAGCCCGCGCAAGGAAGCCTGGCGGCCGCGACCCCCCGGGCTCGCTGGCGCAGGTTTCTGATTTTTTGCGATTGTGTTTGCCTCCCCCCAGGCCCCGTCCAAGGACGCCTGTCGGCCGCGCGCCGCCCTCCCTGGCTCGCTGGCGCTGGTTCCCGATTATTTGCGATTGTGTTTCGCCTTTCCAGGGCCCGCCCAAAGACGCCTGACGGCGCGCCCTGGCGCAGCCAATCGCAATCGCACATCGGCAAAAAACCTACGCGGGCCAGAGGTCGGCGCCACTTGGGCGAGCCAGGGGTTGGCGTCTCCGTTGTGCGTCCGCGCGCCCTGCGCTGCCACTCGCAATTGCACGTGAGCAAAATCCAACGGACGCGCCGCGGCATTGAGAGCGCCGGCCGGCTAAGAAACTGCCCCGGAATTTAGCCCCTACTTTCTTTTTTTTCCGCTCCCCAGTTCAGCCCCAAAATTTCTTATCTCATGGTTTTCTTAATATCGACCGGGGGTGTACTTTGCGACGGGACAATGAAGGTTGATATTGTTTGAACTCGCGCTGCGTGGTAGACGAAGGCTGAGCACGCACGACGGCCTCACCCTTTGTTGGGCAGTGTGATGATGCCCAGCCCACATCAAGTGAATGACTGCAGGCAAGGCGCGAACTGTGCCTGCTGAAAATGGGCGCGATGGATTGCGGCCTGCAATCTCTTATCTGTTGTATGGCCCGCCGCCCGCAAGCCAGCGGCTGACGGCAATCTAATGTGTTGCGGCTCCCGGAGGGGCAGCGAACGCGCGCGATCTGTGCTTCTGGGGCGGTAATTATATCAAGGCCGAAGCAGTCGAGAGCAAACTCTGAGTTCCGGGTTCCTTCCGCATGGGGGTCGGATGGATTGCTAACTGACAGATCACACGCGCCTGCCGAGCGTGCTGGGATCTGGCTCTTCAAAACGCTGCCCCCCACAGCGACCTCCCGCTGCGCAATCCCGTGTGTGCTCTAGGCCCAGCGCTGGGCAGAACACAGCGCCCGCAGCGCCCCAACGGCCAGCCATCGTGCAAAGAGCGGAATGCGGTCGCTCCGCCACGCTCCGCGCTCCTCCTCCTCCTCCTCCCTCCTCTTCCCTCCTCCTGCTCCTCCTCCCCCTCCTCCTCCTCCTCCTCCTTCTCTCCCCATCCTCCTCCTCCTCCTCCTCCTCCTCCTCCTCCTCCTCCTCCTCCCATCCTCCTCCTCCTCCTCCTCTCCTCCTCCTCCTCCTCCTCCCCTCCTCCTCCTCCTCCTCCTCCTCCTCCTCCTCCTCCTCCTCGCTCCGCCAGTTCTGGCCCACCACGCTTAGGCTCGACACGCCATCCTCTTCTCTCAAGCCGTCAACGTCCCGAGCTCTTCCGAGCCTCCCCCCCCTCTATATCTTGCAGCTTGCTGGGCATGGCGTCTCGCCGGGGCTGCCGCGGCGACGCGCTGGGCATGCTTCGCGCCCCTGTTCCGCCCTGTCCCCGCCCCCTCCTCCCCCCCCCCTCCGAACGAGTTGTGGCCACCGGCAGGGGCACGCGATCCTCCTCGCTGTATGGTCCGGCAGTCCGGAGGCGGAGCGCGTCTCCCTGCCGGGCGGCAGGGCTGGACGCAGCGATCCCGAGGGGCAAGGATCACCTCCCCCCCCCATCATTTCGTCGTCGTCGTCCTCCTCCTCCTCCTCGTCGTTGTTGTACGCGTTTGTTTAGTCAACCAGGCAACTGCCCGTGACAAAAAGCTGTTGCGTCAGAGAGCGTACGATAACACCAGGTAAGCAGTGCATTGCGAAATCGCCTGAGTGCAGACCAGGTGGAGGAGCACGGCAGAGACAGACAAGTGGAGAAGCCCGCGAGGGCATGCATATCTCTATGTGTCTATATGTATATACAGAGAGAGGAGAGAAAGAGAGAGAGAGAGAGAACATTGGATCTGCAGGCGTCGGCAAGGTCGTCGTCCTCCTCCTCCTGCTCCTCCTGCTACTCCTGCTCCTCCTCCTCCCGCAGCCACTGGCCCAGGCCTCCCCGGGCCCCGAGGGGAGCGGGGCCCCGGCGGGCCCCGCCCCGCGGCGGAGCGGGACCCCCAGAAGGCCCGACACCAAGGCTGAGGCGGGCATGCCCCTTTGCAGGAGGAGTAGTCAAGAGCAGTCAGGGGACGATTTTTCGTTCGTTGTTTGTTTGTATATTTCTGAGTGCATGTGTATATATATATATATATATATAGATGTGTGTATGTGTGTGTTTATCTCCATATATATTGCATACATCGAGATAGATAGATATATAGATAGATAGATAGATAGATATATAGGCATAT